TCCAGCTCCACCATTATTACCTGGTTGAGCTGGAGAAATCCCACCCCACCCAGCTTTTTCTGGGATTTGGCCAGCTTGGAGCAGTCTTTCCCCATTAAACTTGAAGGAGAGGAGCAGAATCCCAAACTCACCCCCTCCCGTGCCCGGGGGCGGTGTGGGGATGCTCTCGTGCGAAGGAGCATCCCGGGATGCATCGGAACGAAGCCGCCCCCCTCCGCGCTCGCCCTGGGAAAGGGAAATGCCAGAGGCAGCTTCATTCCCATCTCTTCTTCCTCACGAAACCCGAGAGGGGCTCACTTTGTAGCTCAGCATCCCGGAGCCTAAATTGAAACAATCTCTTCGCCGCCGCGTTGTTCCCCGAAGCATTTCCTCCTCCCGCCGCCGCCGTGTCAGCGCCGTGTCAGCCCCTCGCGGGCGATGCCACTCTCATCAACGCCGCCCTTCTGAAAGGGCTTTTTCGTTCTGCTGCAACCGCATTTCATCTGTTTTCCCTTCCTTTGAACTCCGTCCAAGCCCGGTGTCGGAGGGGGCGGGTGGTTTGGCCGCCGGGAGGGAGGCAGGGCAGCCCTGCCCCGGCTCTCGCAGCGCTCCGAGGGGTCGGCATTCCCGCAGCAGGAGATATCCCGGGAGGGGAAAGTTCCTCCTTTAGCATCGCTCCCAGGCTGCAATAATCCGAAGCAGGAGTTGTATTTTTCTCCCGTTCAGCAGCTTTTTTTTTTTTTTGCAGAGGAGGGACTCGGCTGTGTGGTGCTTGGGACAGGGTGATGAGTCCCATCCTGGAGCTCTCCCGGGCGCTAGGAACGGAGATAATTCATGAGCAGAGCCCTGGTTATGGAGCTCCAGGCTTTAAGGACCCCCCCCCAATTTTATCTTGGCTTGTTTTAGGCGTGAGGTGGTTGTAAACCCAGCCCTAATCCTTCCCAGGCAGAAAAACACGGCCCTGAAGGAGCCAAGTGAACACGAATTTTCAAAGCAAGGAAATAGGCTGGGATTTAGGGTTGGATAGAGAAAACACCCATCCTTGGGGGCCCTTGGGGGCTGGGCAGGGCTGCCTGCAGGCCATGGCAGCTCCAGGGGCAGCTGGGCATCAGCTTTTGGTCAGGTCCTGGGGGTGGGAACCGACTTTGCTCCATCGTTGCCCTCTCTGGGCCTCGCTGGCGATGCAGAGCTGCCCAGCCTGGGGGCTTCTGTGCAGCTTCAGGGAGCCCTTTTGCCTTTAATAATGTTGGTTTTGGCTGAAGGAGCTGCCTGGCAGCTCGGGGTGTATTTATTGCTGGCTGTTGTCGCTCCCTGACCCTCCCCTATAAAACACCGGGGCCGTGGGACTTGGTGATGGCAGAGCCCCCCCAGTCTTGGCACCCCGGGCAGCCTCGTGCTGAGCTCCCAGGGCAGAGCAGGGTCAAAATCCCAAATCCTCGTGGGATCCATCCCAGTGGTTGTTGCCCCTGAGCAGAGCAGGGTCAGCAAGCCAAAATCCCAAATCCTTGTGGGGTCCATCCCAGTGGTTGTTGCCCCTGAGCAGAGCAGGATCAGCAAGCCAAAATCCCAAATCACTCTGGGGTCCATCCCAGTAGTCCCCGAGCAGCTGTGCTGGGAAGAACAGGCAGGGGACGGTCCCAGCAAGGTGCTGGAGTGACTTTTTGGTTTTCCCTGGATTTTTCCCTCCCTTCCCCACAACAGGCAGCAACCTTGTGCCCTTGTGCAGCACGGGAGGAGTGGGGAACAAATCCAGCCAAAACCTTGGATAGGAACCAAACCACCTTCATCCCTCCAGCCGGGGCCACCCATCCCATCCTTCCAGGGTGTCCCGGAGGAAGGACTTCCCTCTGATTCAACAGGGCAGCCGCTGCCTCTCTTCATTAAGTGGTGTTGGCTTATTAAAAGCACATTTTTGAGGCTTAGCAGCTCCACGGAGCCGTCTGGCAGGGACGGTGCCAGCGGCGCGTGGTGGGAGGACGCGCCGGGCAACCCTGGCAGAGCCCAGCTGGGCTGGGCATCCCCCTGAGCCGGGGGGAACAACTCGCCCCTTTGGTACCCAGGGGCTGTTTCGGGTGGGAAAAGGAGAGGATGGAAGGATCCAGCCGGGATTGGGGTGGTGGGAGCCCTGGGAGCGTGGACAGCGTGGGCTGTGCCCTGGGAAAGCGTCGCTCGGGGTGGGATCTTCCCACGGAGGATGGATGGGCAGGAGAGGGGGGGGAGTCTGGCCCCACCTGTCTCCAGGAGCAGATGGTGGAATCATGGAATGGTTTGGGTTGGAAAGGACTTTAAGGATCATCTCGTTCTGCCCCCTGCCATGGGCAGGGACACCTTCCACTAGGCCAGGGACACCTTCCACTAGGCCAGATTGCTCCAAGCCCCGTCCAACCCGGCTTTGAGGTGGCTGCATTCCCACTGTGATGTTCTTTCTGGCAGCACAGAGCAGGAGAAACGATCCCAATCTTTTACCCACAGATCTGAACTGGATTCACGGGAGGTGGCAGCCGGGCAGGGAGGGCAGCGTGGCCACAGCTCTCCCTGGGTGGGATCAGAGGGGAAACTCGTCTCTTTTGGAACCCTTGCGACTCTTCCCTGTGGAAAACCCCTCATCCCTGGGGCATCCCAGCAGGTTTTCCCTGCGGTGACAGCAAAGCTCGGGGGACACGACGCTGCTCCGCTGTGTCGGGGTGTGAAGGTCCATCCCATCACCGCCAGCCCTCTTTATCCCAAATTTTGAGCTTCCTCCACCTAAAATCCCCGTTCCCAGTCCACCGCCGTTGCCGTCCCGGGAGGAATTCCTCCCTTGCTGGCTGTGGAGCGGCGCTAAGTGGTTCAACATGTTGGCAGTTGCTGCTGGAGTCGGACAGTAAACGCTAATGGGATCTTAGTCTGTGCTCCGTCCCAAACCCGCTGGAAGGGGTTTAGTGCAAATTGGATTTGCAAACCTCGCTCGGGTCTCTCTGCCCTCGGCAAAGCTCCGTAATCCCCGGCGGGAGCCTGGACAAGCCGACTCCTTCTGTGCCACGAGGAATCCGGGATCCACGGGGAGGAGAGGAGGGAAGCTGCGGGGGAATTCCCAGCTCGGGGCGTCACCTGCGCTTCTTTCCCGGTTGTGGGATGTGGAGGGATGATCATCCCTCAGGGAGCACCCAGGGGCTGTGACTCCCTCATCCCACCCCTGGAACAGCTCCTTCCTGGCTCACCCCATCCCACTCGCAGGAATGTTGGATTAGGGCGGGATCTGCTTCTCTAGGGATGAAAATGGGAATTATTGAGGTGGGAGCTGAAGGGATCGTCCCAGCACACCTGGGACGTGTGGAAAAGGCAGAAGTGGAACCCTGGAATTAATACCTGGAGTCCTTCAAGCTCCATTGTGCTCTCGGGGTGTTTTTCCAAAGGGGAAAACTGAGGAATGTTGTGGCACAGTGACCCTGCTCCCGGGGTGCTCTTCCAAAGGGGAAAACTGAGGAATGCTGTGGCACAGTGACCCTGCTCCCAGGGTGTTTTTCCAAAAGGGAAATTGAAGAATGCTGTGGCACAGTGACCCTACTCCCGGGGTGTTTTTCCAAAGGGGGAACTGAGGAATGCTGTGGCACAGTGACCCCCCCCTTCCAGGGATTTTGGGGGGGCTGGAGCGTGTTGTGACACACAAAGATGGAAAACCCTACAAATCAGGGAAGGGGCAAGCGGCCAGAGCTGCAGTGTGGGGTTGATGCTGTTCTCCCAGCCCTCTTCCCCTCCTGCCTCAGCCGTGTCTTCCCCTCCTGGATCCCACCGAGGGCTTTTCCTTTCTTGGGAAAACGGGAGATTTTGCCCCCCAGATGCCAGCGGTGTCGAAACGGGGGCCCAAAGCAAAGCACATCTGGGGCCTGGGCTCCATCCCACTGCCAGAATTTAAGCTTTTAACCCTCTTTCCCGAGGCACTGGGATTGTTCAAACAAGCCCCAGTAATTAGTTTCCTCTGACAAACCGCCCCTTTTTGGCATCAGGAGGTTATTTAGCGCCGGGGGGGGTCGGATACAAAAATAATTGACATTCAGAGTTGGGGTTTTGGCACGAGAGGGAAAATCTGGGCTGGAGGAACATCCCTGGGGGGCAGAGAAGGACAACACAGCAGCACCCAAGGGCGCCTGGCAACGGGTGGGGGGTCCTTGGCTGGTCTTATCCCTGATTTCCTGCACGGTTCCATAAACCAGCCTGGCTTGGGTGGGATCCCAAGCCACGTATTTTTATTTTTTAGGCCCACCAGCAAATGGGATCTGTCTGCAGGGGCGGTTTCTTGCAGGGTATTCCCACCTCGTTCTCTGTTCTGGTGTTATTTCCCACTCTCTGCTCCCGCTGCAGCACTGGGCAATGCCCTGAATCATTTTGATATCAATTAATCTCTAATTACTCACCTTCTTCCCATAAAGGGCGGCTCCTGCTGCTGCTTAGACCCGGTGGAATCGGCTTAGGGAGGTTTTTGGGCTGCTGCAGCCGAGGTGACCTTGGTGGAGCTGTCACACCTTGTCAGGGTCGGTGGGGACACAGAGCCACCCCCCCCACCCTGGAGACCACAATTCGGGGGCCAAAATTTGGGGACCACCAGCTGAGACCACGACCTCGGATCTCACACCACCCACCTCCACCCAGAGAGGATTTTTTCAAATACTTTTGCTGCTTTCAGCTGGAAGAAGAACAAATATCCCCCCAAAATGTGCTGTTTTCAAGGCTTTTCTCTCACTGCTGGGGGGGTGAGGGGGGCTGGGGCTGCAGGGCTCGGCCAGGTGTCCCCAGGATGTCCCCAAGCCGGGCTGGGTGAGCCCTGCAGTGGGTTGTGCTGCATCAAACCGGGCTGTTCTTTAATGCTGATTTATATTTCAGCTGCGTTTCTGCCTCCGGCGTGTCCCGGAGAGAGCGACGGAGTCGGGGGGGGGAGAACCACGGGAAGCCGAGGATGGAGGGGAAGCAGCAGCATTATTTGCCCTTGCAGGGATGGGCTAAGCCCAGCTGGGGCTGAACTGGTCCCAAACTGGTGCCAGGGGAGCAGAAATCACCGTGCTTGGCTCCACATCCAGCGGGATTCCCTCCCTCTGCGTATCCCGGTAATTAATGACGTGAAAGCCCAGGTGAGACCTCCAGGAAAGGAATCAAAGGCTCTGCTGCCACTTTCCAGGGCATGGATGAATCCTGCTGGGACACGGGCCTCTCCCCACAACCCAGGGCACGCGTCGAATGGTGGGAGAGGGATGGTGGGAGAGGGAATCCCGCGGGAGGGACGGGAGAGGGTGAGAGGGGTCAGACTCAGACCATCCCTGTGTCTGTCTTGGGGATTCCTCAGAGAAATCCATCCCCCAAACAGGGCTGAGTGGAGCTCCGGGGGGTGTGGGGAGAGGCAAGTGGGTTGTGGCTGTGGGGTCTCAGGGCTGGGGGTGCTGACGGTGGGTTTTCCATCCCGGTGAGTTCGACTCATGCCCGTGCAAACTGGCACGGACTGGGGGGCAGGAGGCTGTCCCTGCCACGCAGGGGTGGCTCAAGGTGCCCCTTGGCCCTGGCACAGGTGGGGATTTTCCTGCCCTGTGCTCCTTTCCCTGCTGGGGTTGACCCCAGCCAGGGGTTGACGCTCCCTGTCCCCGGAGTGGAGCTGGAGTTGGGATCATGGGGCTTTTTCCCTCCTCATTCGTGCACTCACTCGCTGTTGGAAGAGGAAAAGCCAATAGGGCAACTCAGATCAGGGTTTGGGGCTTTTTTTGCTCCCAACACTGCCTGTTCTAGGGCCAGTTTGGGCATTTTGGGGCCACTTTGGGCATTTGGGGGCTGGTTTGACCTTGGGGCACCGACCTTCTCGCTGCAGCTCCAGTATTCCCAGTGCAGCATCCGTCCTGGCTGGGGGTGTTGCAGGGGTTCCATTCCAAAAAAATAATGTTAGGGGCTCGTGATAAGTTTTGGGGAAGGTCTGAGGCAATTTTGGGGAAGGTCTGAGGCAATTTTGGGGAAAGAATGAGAAAGTTTTGGGGAAGGTCCTCAGGGATTCTTGAGGAAGGTCTGTGGAAATTTTGGAGAAGGTCCGAGTCAATTTTGGGGAAGGTCTGAGGAATTTTTGAGGAAGGTCTGTGGGAGTTTTGAGGAAGGTCTGAGGAAGTTTTGAGGAAGGTCTGAGGAAGTTTTGGGAAAGATCTGAGGAAGTTTTGAGGAAGGTCTG